AGAGGGGGCTGTAAATATAGATACATAATTCTTACCAAAAATGCAGCATGCGGCCACGTACCAGTAAAATGGAGATTTCCTAGGGAAGTAAACATTTTCAAAATTGACATCGAAAGAGAGAGAAAAGGATAACCAGACCAGTAATGACAGGGAAAGTCACAAAGTTTGCCAAAGATAGATTTATTACAAAAAAAGTAACAAGCCCATATAATACTATAGGAAAAATTAATCAAGTCTAAATGAATGAAAAGCTATAACCTTTGAAGCCTTAATAAGAGACAGATATCAAACCCTAAGGGGGATGGCCACACCACAATCTCTTCTCCATTCTCCTCTCGGGATTTTGGGCATGCTTGCATACATGCCCAGCATGAGTTTCAAGCCTCCAGGTCTGGAACTCAAATCATGATTGCCCTGTGGAAGTCCAGTGCGTTAACTGCTATGCCACCTGCTGGCCCCGAACTTGTCTTTTTATAAGGAACTTACTTCCAAAGATAACGAACTCTCTCTGACAATACTGGTGTTAATCCACACGAGGGCAGAGACTTCATGGCCTAATCCCCTCCCACTAGGCCCTACCTCCCACCACTGTTGCACTGGGGATTACATTTCTAACACAGTTGTTGGGAGACACATTCAAACCATAGCTCCAAGCATGTCATATAACCTAGAAATTACAATAGAAAAATTTGCATTTGTTATTTCAGTCAACAAATGTTTGTTGCATTGTTCTAGTCCCTGGAAGACACCAGCGAATACTACAAACACCCTGCCTGCATGAAGCTTACATTTTAGCATATATGTAAATATGCAAAACAATTACATAAGACAATTATACAGAATGATAGATACCATGAAGAAATAACAGCAGAGTATGAGCAGTGGGGTAAGGGTAGACCCTGGTCAGGGAAGGCCTTGCTGAAGAGGGGATTGAAAAGAACTCACTCGCATTCACAGAGTTTACTCAGGTAAGGGTTTTAGTTAAAGGTGCAATGATGGAGTGAGAGAGAGCCGGCAGTCATGGGAGGCCAGGAAAGTCCACGGCACGCTCTCCAGGGTCCTTAATGTCCCTGGATTTCACTTGCACTTTGTGTCTAGGTTGAACCACCAAGATCTGTGCAGAGAATCTTAGCTATAAGAGAGCTCAAAGTGGACTTTTCCAGAGGGGTATTTATGCCTCTCTTGCTATGCAATCGAAGAAGGCTATTTAAATTGCTAGGTTGGGGGCCAGCAGGTGGTCCTGGTTAAGGAGGCTGGACTCCCACATGGCCAACCACAGTTCGAGTTCAAGTTCACCAGCTGGACCTGGTGGCTTGTGAATTACACCGGATACATGTGTGCACATGCCTAGAATTCCAGGAGACTGGAGAAGAAGGGATTATGGTGTACCCATGGCCGCTGGGAGTGATTTCTCACTTTCCTTCTCACTGTCTCTCTCTGTCTCATGCTCCAGCAAGTGCACATGCCCTATGGCAAGAGCCTAAAACATGCAATAAATTGTTAGGTTTTTAAAAATATTTATTTTATTTTATTTATTTTTAAAATTTGCTATAGGACGTATGTACTCACAGAGAGAGACAGAGAGAAAGGGAGAGCAAGAGAGGGAATATGAGAAAGCAAGCCTCTAGGTCCGGGATGTGAACCACAGTCAGCTGTATGGGAGTCCAGCACCTTACCCACCACATATGCTGGCTTCTTTTAGGGTTTTTGAGTTTTGTTTTGTTTTTGCTATGGGTTGCCTGTGCTCGCTAGAGAGGAGAGAGACTGAGAATCACCCCAACAAAGATACTGTTAGGTTCATTGGAAAACTACCAGTAAAGAAACACGTGGGTGATCACCAGTCAAGCTTTTCAGACTTTAAATAGTATACCGTAAGTCTCCTTGCCAAGAATAGGATTTGCTCAGCTTATTTTGGCTAAGAGTGAACTCCACACGTCAGAGTCCTCCAGAGACAGATGACACTTTTCCAATCAAGCTGCACATCTACTCATTTTCCACGCTTCAAGCAAAAAAGGGATCGTTTTGGAAGAACTAAGTAGCTGGCAGTAGAGAAGGGAAATTGAAAGACCTTAGAAATGACAAGGAACGGGACAGAGTCAGAGATGCAGAGAGTGGGCTTCATCTGGGCATTGCTGCTGGGGGGATACCGTTCACTTGCCTTCCATCATAGTATCACCCTGCTCAGGGCCTAAACCCAAGGAAACCACCGCTAGCCCAGTTGGGGTGTCTGCTCTCTCTGCCCTGGAATCAGGGATGAGGTCAACCCACCTACCCAAATGGACTATATAGGTAGAGTGAAGACAGAGATATTTCGTCAAAGCAAGATTGGACTCGATTACTAAATTAATTCTGGGTAGGCCAGAGTGACACGGTTCATTATAATCAGATTGGCAGGAACTAAAAACGCCCAACATTGACAAGGATATCAGGAAATGGGAACCTTAATGAACTTTGGGAGGACATGTAAACAGTTTCTATGAAGATGATATGAAAATATCCATTGAGTCAGCAATTCCACTTCTAGGAAATTAGACTGCAGAAAAACTCACACTGCAGTCCAAGGGGCCAGTGGTAACACAACCAGGCCTACATGGGCAGGGTGTTGGGTTCTTACCCTGGAACCTCCTAAGCATGCTGGGGTGTGTGTGTGCCTGTAATTTGGGTTGACTGAGATTGAGGATGGGCTATGGCATGAGGACCCTGTTGGGAGTGTTTGTCTTTCTCCCTCTCTCACAAGGAATAAATGAACTTAAAAAAAAAAAGATAGTGATGTGGGGGTTAAGGCACTGGACTCCCACATGGCCAACCATGGTTCAGATACCAGACCCGACAGCTTGAAAATTATGTCTGGTGCATGTGTGTGCATGTCCAAAATCCCAGGAGGAGAAAGGAGGAGAAGGGATTCCAGCGTGGCCATCTGCTCAGTGCTGATGGTTTCTTACTTCCCTCTCTGTCTCTTTGTCTCTCTGGTGAGCGCACATGCCCTATGATTAAAAAAAAAAAAAAAATCTTGGGAACCAGCAGTTAGCGTAATGGCTATGTCGCTGGACTCCCACATAGTCGACCACGGTTCGCGTCCAGGAACCGGTGGCTTAAAACTCACGCCGGGCACATGTGCGTGCATGCCCAAGATCCCGAGAGGAGAATGGAGGAGAAGGGATTGCGGTGTGACCATCCCCCCTGGGGGTGATTTCTCGCTTTCTGTCTCTCTGTCTCTCTCTGTCTGTCTGGCAAGCGCACACGCCCTATAGCGAATAAACCTCTCAAGAAAAAAAAATCTTCTAATGGACAAAGAATATCTGAAAAGGAAAATCACAAAAGAAGAATATAAATGGCTAATCTTAAACTCTCTAAATTCTCAAGCATATACTTTTACACAAAGTAAGTTCTCAGTAGCTCAGTAGTTGCAATGACAATCTATTTTCGTTCTAACAATATTTTCACATGAAATATTACTGTGGACCATAAAAGTACCATCGAAAACTATGGGTGCTACCCAACAACGAAGCTGCTAGTTCTGGATGCAAAAGGGGTGTTACTCAATGACGCTATGTTAAGAGTCCCAGGAGGGGCCAGGAGGCAGGAGATGGCGTGGTGGTTAAGAGCACTGGACTCCCGCTTGGCTGACCATGGTTCAAGTCCCAGACCTAGAAGTTTGCTCTCTCTCTCTCTCTCTCTCTCTCGTCCCTCTCTGGTCAAATTGCAATGAATAAATAAAGTTAAATAAAATAATTTAATAAAAAAGAGTCCAAGAAAAACAAAGCCTCTTCGAAGCTCAACAAACCTTCCAGGAAGCCTTAGTCATGTTTCTGACCTGCTGGGGGTGGCTTCTCTGAGAAGGTCATGTCCTTCTGGTAACTACTGGGAAAACAAAGCAGGAAGAGCCACAATCTCCACTGAGGACTCATCTGAAGTTTGACTTCCTGAGAACTTGTGTTGCAAAATGAAGTGATTGCTTTATTTTCTGGAGGAGGGAAGGGAAGAAGACACAGAAACAAGAATTCAAGTTCATTAGAAGGAGGCGGACGCTCACCCTGCACTCCAAATCCCCAGTGCTCCTCTAGCCTACACCCTCTCTATACTCCATTCCCAAGATGCTTCACTCTTATTTGGGAGGGGGGGGGGATAATAGGGTGTGTACACTCACCAGAGAGAGTGAGAGGGAAAGTGAGAAATCACCCCCCAGAGGGGATGGCCAGGCTGCAAATCATTCTCCCCCACTCTCCTCTGGAGATTTTTGACATGCACACACATGTACCTGGTGTGTTTTTCTTTTCTTTTTAGAGGGATTTTTTTGCTATAGGGCACATGTGCTCACCAGAGAGACAAAAAGCAAGAAATCACCCCCCAGGGGGCTGACCACACCGCAATTCCCCCTTCCCCATTCTCTTCTCAGGATTTTGGGCACACACACATGCACCCGATGTAAGCTTTTTGTTTGTTTGTTTGTTTTTTAAGAATTATTAATTTAATTTTATTCATTCATTCATTTATTTTAATTTGACCAGAGAGAAACACAGAGAGAGAGGGAAAGCAAGAAAGCAATACACCAGGTCCACAACTCGAACTGTGGTCGGCCATGTGGGAGTGTCCAGTGCCTTAACCACCATGCCACCTGCTGGCCCTCATACCTGGCATGAGTTTTAAGCCACTGGGTCCAGGACTCAAACTGTGGTTGACTACGGGGGAGTCCAGTGACGTGACCATTACGCCATCTGCTGGTCCCCACCTGGTGTGGTTTTCGAGCCACTGGACCTGGGACTTGAATTACGCAGTTGGTCTTGTAGGATCCAGTGCCTTAACCTCCATGCCAACTTCTAGTTCCCCTCCCGAGATTCTTATCATCAAGAAGAAATATAACCCAGACAACTCAGTCTATACCCCAATCCATACAACCTTGAAAACATAAACACAATGTTTTTATAGTATTTTATTATAAAAGTAATATATGATTTTTGTAGAAAAACAAAGAAAGAAAATAAAACTCAGTGATAATCTCATCACCCTGAAGCAATCACTTTTAATGCGTGGATATTTGTTAGTCTATTTTAACATTTCTGAAATCATCTGTGCTTAGTCATTCTCATGTAACTTAACATAAGCATTTCCCATATTGCTACAGTTTCTTAATAACGGTAATTTTATTCATTTTATTGGCTGTGTAAATGTGTAACAGAAGAATACTTTTTAAGCTAATATATATATTAAGTTTATTTCTTTCATGAGCGAGAAAAAATGAGAGACGCACCCTCAATAGTGTATCACACCACAGTCTGCCCCCAGCTTTCCCAGGCAGCTGGGATCCGGGGCACACACATGTACCCAGTGTGTACGGATTGGCTGGGGAACCGAACCCTGGTCTTCCACATGGCTTCCACACTGCAGAGCATTGCACTACCTCCGTGTCACCAGAGATGGACTCAGAAGCACCTTGATGTGGAGAAGTGCACAGGCTCAGAAGGAAGCAGTACAGTCAGTCACCTGGACCATTCTGTCCGTGACTATCCAGACACGGGCCTTCAGGCTTTTTGCAGATAATTCTAGAGTAGTCCTTCTCATTGTTAAAAGAGTCCTTTACAAAGAATTGTAGCATTCCCTGCCTGGAATTTAGACCAGGAGACACCAGATTCTCATCTGTCCAGTTCTCTTTCCCAGATCCCAGGCCCAGACAATGGAGACTAAATGCGATTCTGGTAATCAGGCTCTGATTCTTCCTCTGCAGCGTCCGAGTGAGAGAGAAGTGAGTAGGTGATTGTGTGCTCAGCCTAGAGGAGGCAAAAACTAGCGGTGAGGAGCCACAGGGAGCTCGGAGGCCAGAAGACAACAGGGGACAGGGGACGAGAGAGGGGAGAGAAGGAAAGGGGTTTGGCTGGGACCACTCACCTCAACCTTGGCAGCCTCTTCAGGATTAGTGGGGGTGGCTGTGGGCAGAGGAAGTGAGGTCAGCTAAGGCACTGTATGGAAGAGGGCCTCCCATGCCACTGCTGGGGCTGCAAGGACCAAAATCCTTGCCAGACCCAAAGCAAGGCCGGCTGACTGCAACTCAGACTTGTAGGCCAGGAGCTGAGTGAACATGGCTGCCTTCCTCCCCACTCCCCACCACACGCAGCTGCAGCCTTCCCGCCCACACTGGCAAAGGGAAGCAGCTTTCTGTGGTGCCTTCTTTTCAGAGAATCCTCCTGCTTTCCTAGAAGCAAGCCAAGCAGTTTTAGGGATCTGAAACGCCGGGGAAGAGGTGCGAGGGTGTTTGGTGGCAGAGTGAAGTAACATTTCGGCTAGCCTTCGATTTCAGAGAGAAGACAGGGCCATTCCATAGTGGCCAAGTGTAGGGCGTCTTTGCTGGATCTTTGAAGACTCTAGAACTCCATGGCATTAAAGAGAAAGAGACTAAGAGCAAAAATGAGAGAGAGAGAGAGGAGAGAGAGAGAAAAGGAGGGAGGATGGAAGTGAGTACTTTCTCTGGCGAATATCCCATACACACCAAATTCATGTTTTTGCCATAAACTCACTTTGCCAGTGTGAAAACCAGCCTCAAGAGATGGAAAAAAAATAAAAAAATAAAAAAGCATTTCTCAGGACCAGGAGGTGGCATAATGGTGTCACTGGACTCCCACATGGCCAAATGCACTTCGAGTCCAGGACCCAGCAACTTGAAACACACCAGGTACATGTGCGTGCGTGCCCAAGATCCTGAGAAGACAATGGAGGAGAAGGGATTGCAGGGTGGTCATTCCCCCCTGGGGGGTGATTTCTCGCTTTCTGTCTCTCTGTCTCTCTCTGTTTCTCTGGTGAGTGCATGCACCCTATAGTAAAAAAAAAAAAAAAAAAAACTCTCTATAGAAAAAATTTAGAAACAGGAAGGGGGGAGGAGTCTGAGGCAACGCATACAGTCCTGGCAAGGAGGAGTTGCCTATTCGCCATGCTCCAAACTCTGCCACCCATGACATTTGGAACTCCTCTTCTAATTCACTCCTTAGCAGTCCCAGCAGCCTAACCTGCCTTCTGAGAAAGCACCAGCCCCCGCGCCTGGCTGCGTAAATGCCAGGCATGAGCATGGCGTAAGCACCAAGGCGGCTTTTCTCCAGGCCTGGTCCGGCCCTGGTGCAGATGCAAGCGCATCCCCCCACCCGGCCTGGCACTGAGCACAGCTAGGGGAGGGGTGTTTGCTCAAGCTCTCAAATCTGTTGGCTCTGCTCTGAGTCATACTCCAGCCATCTGAGGTGGAATCAAGAGGCCCTTCTTCCTGCCCGTTTCTGCTGTCGTGGAAGCTCCCGAGAGAGATCCAGGTCGTTGGTTCTCACTTAACTACAGTGAGGAAGTCGCCTGGTTGATCCTTTTGCACACTTCCCTTAGGCCAAGGGCTGAATGGCCACTGCATCTCAGAACCTCAGACCTGGAAGAATTTGAGGTCATCCAAGTCAACCCAATCGTGAGGGAGGTGACTGAATGCCTTGGGTCGGTGGGGGGGGGCGCGAGGAGATTCTGGTTTTTTTTCCCCAATGCCCATTAAACTTACATGAGTGGGCCTCGGCAGCCAGCCTTACTCACCAAGTCAAACCCAATAATGCCCCTAGAATGCCAGAATGTTCTCAAGAGCAGATCTCCTTTTCATGTTCCATTAAAATTGAACCCCACCACCCAGCCCGATCGCTGCCAGAGAAATTCGTCAGCAAACCTACAGAGTTTTTTCCTAGGCTTCCTTCTCCTTTCCCTTTAGCCTCCTACCTCCTTAATCCTATTTGCCTAGTTTCGTGACCTCTAACCCCTGTCCCGTGTCACCTCTGCCAAAACTCCAGAGATCTCTGAGTTCCTGCTCTGGACTTATCGCCAGATTCTTAGTCCCAGAAACTTGCCATAGCCCTCTCCTTGCTACCTCGGACCAACGTTCCTCTTTTCATGTCCAGCAAAGTCCTCTTGGGCCCAGGAGTTAGACTCAGAACTGACCAAGTGATTTGAGCCCCTGCCGTTTGCCCGCCTCCCTCTCCCCTCCTGTGCTCCCGGCTGAACTCACACACACCACAGCTTGCTGGCTCCAACCCAGCCGGCAGCCCTGGGTGGGGTGTTCCTGGGTTGGGCATCCCTGGGCCCCACGAGATGACGCTGTACTCACATGGCTCCTTGGAGAGAGTCTCTCCCATTTCCCTGCGCTCAGGGTTTCCTGGGAGAGCTAGGAGGGGCACACAGGAGGTTAGTAGGATTATGGGGTGGGGGCCTGAGTCCTCAGGACAAAGGGACAGGGTAGAATAGGGTTAGAACCACCCAGACCTTCCCACTTCTCCTCTTCACGCTCCAGCCCCGCCGTGCCCAGGGAGTGCTCGGGCCTGTTAGAGACACAGCCAGTAACCAGGGACTCCTGGGACAGTCAGAAAGGCCTCCCATGGCAAGTTGCTTAGGTATGCTCTGCCTCTTGGACACTGACCTTTTTCTTAGTATCTCTCACCATATCTATATGAGGGGATTTCAAAATGTTCATGGATAATGAAATGAAAGCATGAGTTTATTTTATGTCAAACACATTTTTGAAATCCACGCACAGTGTTTCCATGGGACACATTTTCCACGAGTTTTTGGAAGAACCCTCGTATTTGCTTAGCGTCAGTGCCCGAGGTCCTGGTTACTGGTACCAGCCAATCACAAAGTGCTTCATCAGGTATTAGTAGTATTATTTCTCTTTGTCAATGGCCTCTGCACCCTCTTTACTCTGCCCTCAACCCCCATCCTAAGCACAGCAGTCCTCAGTTCCATGACTTAGAGAGTCGGTCCTGGAACAGGTAAGCTGTGAAACTGAGATTTGAACCTGAGCAGTCTAGGCCTGCCTCGTGTTTCAGTCACTGCACCAGGCCCAGATGCCAGGCGCAGCGGTAACGCTAACTCCTGTAGTGCTGGAAGCCATAAGGTAACCATGGTTCAGATCCCAGGTTGGCCAGTGCGGGAGTCAGTGTCCAAGACCCTGAGGGACTGGAGGGCTGCGAAGGTGATCACAAGGTGACAAGGCCCTGCCGAGGTTGCTTTGTCTCTCCTCTCGCTCTCTTGTTTGTCCACACATGCACTTTCCAGCATAAGCAGAAAGGGGGAAACTCATTACACTCCGCGGCCTCGCAGAGAACCCTTCTCTCACTGCCCCAGCCTGTGCTGGGTTGGGAAGCCGCCTCCACCCACCCCGATGCCGTCACCACGTCGCCCTTTGCATTTCTCTATCATTGCTCATCTCATCTGATTATAATGATCTCTTCGTACTTCAGTCTTCCCCACGGTGCTAAGAACTTCCGAAAGGCAGGGACTGCCCTTCTTCACATTGCCATCAGCACATTGTCCAGCTCAGTGCTTGACACGCAGGCAAGTTTATTCAAGCCTTGTTGGATGAGTCAATTATTAAATGAATGAACAACAACAAAAAATGGGGTATGTCTGAATGCTAAGGATTCTCTAGCCCAAAGACAGTGTTCCGGCCATGTCTAGGTTTAGGGCCTTGACCAAGTGGAAACTGGTAGCAAGAGGGACAAGGGGAGCCACCCACCTGAGCTCCGTTTTTTCCTGAGGTAGAGGAACGCTGCTACAGTTGCAGCAATGGCCACGACAGCAATCCCAGTGACCACGGCCACGATGACCAGCAGTGGGGCGTCGCTAGGGTTGGACCCTGGGGAAGACAGACTTGAGGACAGGTTGCGCTCTCCCTGCCCCCCTTCCCCACCCTCCTCCAGTGCTGTGCCCAGCCCTGCCCCCTGGCTGTTCCGTTTCTGGCTTACCCACGTGTGCAACACGCACTTCACCCCAGCCTCACAGGTGTCCATGGGCCAGTGCCTCCCCCCACACCCGAACTAATAAGGGCACACTGGAGTGTGTTGTGCAGAGGGAGGGGTTCCTCTTAGCCCTTGGGGACAGCAGGAAAGGCGAGCCTGACTCCTTCCATGCGCGCGGAGGCGTCACTACTGTGTCAGGCCTTGGACTATCCAGGACATGCCAGCCCGTCTGGAGACAGGAGGAGAAACAAGGCCAACATTTAGGAGTGGCCAGGAGCTTAGGGAACCTCTGACCAAGGCAGTGGGGAGCTCCATGCTCCGGTTCCTGCTCCTGCCCGGGCCAACACTCAGCAAGCCCCCGAGACCTCTCTGCTCTGCCGCCGGCGTGTCTCAGGTCTCCATCCACGTAAGTCCATATGGACGGCCCTTGGCCCTGTCCACCCCCACGTGTCCCTTCCCTATACCTTGCACCGTGATGGTCACAGGCCGGGACAAGTACGCCGTCTGCCCTATGAATCCTCTGCAGTGGTAATCACCACTGTGACTGCGGTTTGCTTGTGGGATGGAGAAGTTGGAATTGGCATGGGAAAACCACTTGGCCTGTCCATTATGGAAGAATGTGACCTTGAGCAGACGTAGGTTCTTCCAGCTGTGGCACCTCAGCACGATGGCTTCCCCCTCCTGGAACACCAGTCGAGGGGTCTGGAGCAGCAGCCAGCCTGAAAGACACAAAGGACCACAGACTCCAGAGCTCTCGGCCTGACTCTGAGACGCAGACCCTGCTTACCTTTAGAACAAGCTGTGAGAGGGCAGGTCTGAGTCTGGACCCTGACGGCCCTGGTTTCTAATTCTGGCTGCATCTTCTGTGAGCTCCATGAGCTTGGGCAAGTAATCGAACATACCGGGCCCCAGTTTCCTCGTCTGTGAACACAGACATGATAATGCCATGTGTCCACGAAAGTTCACAGCACACAGCAGGTGTGCGGAACACGTTCGCCTTCTCTCTCCTCTCCTGGGGAACGGCAGCTGAAGCCCTGGCCTACCCAACAGGCCTCACAGGAAGGACGCAAGAGACCTGGAGGTGTGTCCCTTCCCTGGGGAGAGGGAGGGTGGAATCAGGTCTGACAGAGAGGTGGCGTGAATGGAGGACACAGCAAAGACTGAAGCCTTCGGGGCTAATGGAAAGTCAGGAACCTCCAACAAATGTTCATCGACTTGATGAAAGTCAGAAAATGTGAAGCTTCACTTCAGCAGGGTCTTCGTCCCATGTCACAGGCAGGTTATTCGCCTGTGTCTCTTTCGAGAAAAATGTGGGGGCTGGCCCCATAGCCTAGTGGTTAGGGGAGCCAGATCCCGCATGGCTGACCATGGTTTGAATCCTGATCCTAGTAACTTGGAAAAATATGACAGGGAAAGGTGTGTCTGGAGTGATGGGAGAAAAGGAAGCTTGTCCTGGTGATAAGGGAAGACTGTATAGACCCAAGGCAGGCGGCGGTCGTGGGCCCTTTCATCAAAGATGGGACACTCGAAAGAGAGAAAGAGACGACACCCCAGCAGGACCCCACTCCATCGTCCACCCTAGTCTGGGCCACCAGGGGTCACAGGTGGAACATCCCTCATCTATAAATCTGAACTTGGAAATGTTTCAGAATCGGAAGCTTTGGATGACACCACCAGCGGAAGATTCCACACCTGACTTCATGTCACCCATCACAGCCAAAACGCTACCATACGGAAGCATGGTACAAAATTGTCTGGGCGAGGGGTGCCAAGTGCACGTGAAGGAACAAAAATGAGTTTCGTGTTCAGACTCGGGTTCCACCCCCATGACACCTCACCACGCAAATATTTCTCAATCTGAACAAAATAAAAAGAACAAATTTGAAACATTTCCGAAAAAGAAAAAAAAAGACTAATATGCCAGGTGTATGTGCCCATGTGCCCCAAATCTGGACAGGATGGAGAAAGGGAGACGGAAGGATTGCAAAGTGACCATGCCCCATTAGGGGGTGCTTTCTCCCTCTCCCTCTCTGCCTTTTCTTTCTCCGGTGAGCTAGGCACCGCCTGGTGATTATAGAAGAAGAAAATGTGAGAATCAGGTGAGGAGTGGGGACAATGTGAAGAGTAACATGGCAACACAAGGAGACTTCATTAAGTTTGTGCAGAGACAGAACTAAAGGATGAGTTTATTTAGGTGCGGAAATTTGAAATTCATGCACAGTTTGTCCATAGTATCCATTTCTTTTCTATATGTATTTATTTATTTTTACATAGGGTATGTGCACTCACCAGAGAAAGACACAGGGAAAGTGAGAAATCACCCCCCAAAGGGGATGGCTATGCCACAGTCTCCTCCATTCTTCTTCCAAGATTTTGGGCATGCATGCACACACACCCAGCCTGATTTTCAAGTGACTGGGTCCGGGATTTGAACCTCGGTAAGCCAAGTGGGATGCAGCAGTTTAACCACCACACCCCCTCCCTTGTACTTTTTTTTTTCTTTAAAGACGCTTTTGCTATAGGGCGTGTGCACTCATCAGAGAGATAGAGAGATAGAAAACAAGAAACCACCCCCAAGGGGGATGGCCATGCCGCAATTCCTTCTCCTCCAGTCTCCTCTCGGGATTTGGAACATGCACACACAAGTGCCCGGTGTGAGTTTTAAACCACCGGGTCCAGGACTTAAACCACAACCACCGGGTCCAGAACTTAAACCACAGTCAACTATGTGGGACCTCAGCAACGTAACCATTACACCATCTGCTGGTCCCGTCCCTGGCACTTTTTTAAAAAAAATTATTATTTTATTTAACTTGTATTATTATCATCATTATTATTTTCCAGTTTGATCAGAGAGATAGAGAGAGAGAAACTGAGAAAGCAAGCCACCATCAGATAAGGGTCTGATAAGCAGAATACACAAGGAACTCAAGCCGCTGTTTGGAAAAAAGATGATCAACCCTATTGAAAGATGGGAGAAGGAGTTGAAAAAAACACTCTCTAAAGATGGCATACAGATAGCCAAAAGGCATAGGAAAAAATGCTCCACATCCCTCATCGTAAGGGAAATGCAGATCAAAACAACATTGAGATACCACCTAACCCCGGTCAGAATGTCTAAGATTAAAAAAACAAAAAATGATAAGTGTTGGCAGGGGTGTGGGTGAAAGGAGAACTCTTTTACACTGCTGGTGGGAACGTAAATTGGTCCAGCCACTGTGGAGAACAATTTGGAGATTCCTCAAAAATCTACAAATAGA